TAGAAAATAATTTAATTCACTAGTACGTTTTTCTTTATTTAATGCTGTATGATATCGTTAAGCCTTTTACACAACGCCATCTAAAGAAAAATTTTTCTTCATTACACAATAAGAACGTAATATATTACAAATAAACAGTAATATAATTATACTAGCTTATCTACAACATTCACGTCTAAATAAGATATTTGTAGAATATAAACATTCTATGGATAAATGTTTATTAATATAATTAATATAATTAATTTCTTCCGTGAATAGTCTAATCATTTTCATTTCAGAGCTATTTAAATCTAATACACACATATTAGTTTCTATTAAACATGTTATATCAAAGTAAGAGATATATAGAGATATATTATTATAATGATAAATATGGTGGTATTGATAAGTAAGATGAATATTCATAAATATATTTTTTCTGAGTTTAAATAATTTAGCTAGAAAATAATTTAATTCACTAGTACGTTTTTTCTTTATTTAATGCTGGGTGATATCGTTAAGCCTTTTACACAACGCCATCTGAAGAAATTTTTTATTAATTACACAAACGCTATAGAAGCAGAAGGTAATATATTACAAAGAGACAGTAAGATAATTATACTAACTTATCTACAACATTCACGTCTAAATAAGATAATTGTAGAATATAAACATTTATCCATAGAATTTCTATTGAACATATTAGATCAAAGTAAGAGATATACTGATCCACCAGAATATATATGTGTGTGTATTTGGTTGAAGTATTTATTTCAGTTAACAAATATGCAACATTTTGAAAAGGGTCTCCAAACTATGGGTTTCTCGTAATTACATTTGGTTGAAGTCTGTTGACACTCAGATAAAATTCTGCACAAAAATATAAAAATTAATGGTATCTATCTCTCTTGTCTGTCTATCTATACATAAATAGTGTAAAATACAATTTTCCATAGTATATTTATAATTTATATATTCTTTATTCACCATTAATAAAATCCACAGGTCTTATTTTCATTTCGCTTGTCTTTAATGTGCTGTGTTTACTTTTCCACTCATGCCAAGTAATACCTGTAGTGTCTACCTTATCTACTGTGTAATAAAAGCCGTTTAAGTTTGTGCTGTGACAGTTATTATACCACCATCCGCCTTTGTGTGCTTGAGCACAACTGCCTTTGTGTTTATCGTTGTCTTTATCCTTGGTGCTGAACATCATGTTGTTGTGGTGAGCGAGAGAATTTCCTAAAATTATATCGAAATAATTTAAAAATTAAACAACAAAACATAAACATCTAATGTAGGATATTATCTATTGGAATAGGGTTTCTTTTTTTTTTCAATTGTTTTGTAACTATGAACCAGAGTTGTAATACTTAAATGATATTTATTTAAAATATTTCTAATTTCTGTTAATGATTTTATTAGCTTAACGATTATATATATGACTATATTACGTGACATAACAATGAATAAATTGTATAAATATAATTTCATGCACAAACATTTCTTAAGGCTACCGCACCTATTTTTTCTCTCTAAATATCAATAATATATTTATATCAACAAATAGTTTAAACTCACCCGCGTCACCCTTGTACGTCTTGAAACTCATTTTATAAAGATCTATTTCACTTCGTACTAAGAACTCATCATGTTCTGCATATCTTCGAACTCCTTCAAAGTCTTCCAAATCAACACGGAGCACCATGTTGTTTTGATTGGTCAACGAGAAGATGATGTCATTTCCTGGAACAGAAGCAGTCCATAATAAATAAATTGTTTACAAAACCGTAAATAATTAATTATACCGAATAATCCTAAATAACATGAAATATAAAAGTATTGGAACACTGTTAAATAAATATGTAAAGTTTTACCTAACCAAAACTCCTTGGTTAAGTTTCCAAAACCATTTTTGTATTCTTCCCAAGATCTGTAAAAACTTTCAACTGGTTTTCCAAAATCTCTTCTTCTTTGGATCAACTAGAAATAAAAATAATAATAAAAAATACATAATACGTTGTTTGAAATGTCACGAACAACAACAACATGAAAATTCAAAATAGATATTTCTGCATGATTTGTTTATTAGCAACTGAAACATGAGGAAACTGTCTTGAGTGAAACGTTTTACAAGTAAAATAAGAAACATTCCCCCGATCTAAATGTATGTGTGAAAGATGATTGTAGAATAAAAGCAAATAAATAGTAATAAATAAAACTTAGAACAAAAGTATGACCAAGTGAAAACACGTTTGGCAAATACTAAATTTAAACGTGATAATTGGAATGTTTTAATGAACAGAGTTAGTGAAGAAATATAATAAAAAATTTAAAAGTGTTATCATATTAGGAAAGTAAACATATTTAATTTTCTTTGATATTTCTTAAATTGAAATACATTTTCATAAAAAAGGCCCTAATAATACTTGATTAAAGCCTCGCTTTGAGACAAAGTTTAGTTCACCCACCGTCCACCCTCCTCCTGATGTCTCCATATCACAGTATACAGAGATCGACTGATTCAAAAACCGTGGCTGAATCTTGTAGACACCGCTGGTTCGGTTCAGTTGTTGTTTATAGATACTGGCACAATCTTCTGGTAGAGGTTCCGTCGTCTGTGTCACGCAAAGAGATTGTTGAAAGGCTCCGTTTGTCTGGTTTTGTTTGTCATTAAGAATCGGTGGAAATGTTCGTTCAAGTGTGTTTGTAGAAAATACATCTAAAGAGTAACAGAGAAAAACTTTAATGTGAAAACAGAAAAGGAGTTGAACATACAGTGTTACCAACAATAACATTGTAACATTTAGGTTTAACATTCCAACTTAGCATATAGTTATTATTTAACTATATATTTCTTTTATAGAGTCATTAACATCAAAATTCTTAACAACGGACAACAACTCTTACGATAAAAATAACTCCAGTGTTTATAAGAAGAAGCGGAAAATTCAGATGTCGACTAGAGCCATATTTAGAAAAACTATAAACATTTCTTGGACTCGGTGTGAAAAACATCAGATACAGTTACTAACACGGTTCTAGCTTGTAGTGATTTAAGGAAAACCCTTTTTGGATATCCTGTTTAATACAACTATAAAACCCTTGATAGAAGATTCACATCTTCAGTCTTTAAAAAATCAATTCTGTGTTATTAACCATTTAACAATGTACAACACTGTGAAGGTATTAAGTATTTTGTCTGTCTTCGTGTTGACCCAGGCTGATGTCCATCATCACACAGCTTGTAATACTGTTGGTTCACTGAAAGGAATAGTGGACTCCGTTACAGAATTAGTAGATCTGGCTAGAGAGAGGATTTCTACTTTAGAAGGTAAGATATTTTACTTGAAGTATTTTACAGAGAACTTCAACATCCACTAAAGGAACATTTAAATAAATCATAACCCGAATCAAACATCCTCAACAAGCTCGTTATATACAAAATGAAATTAGTTCTTATTTTCATCTGAAGACGAAGACTTGTGAAAAAAACAATCGTCATTATTCTTTATTGAAACCTTTCAGTGAAGTTCTATTACCTGTTTAAAGCACGGTTTTCACCACGAATACACTGGCTGAATGAACGATTAGAGAACGCTTAAATTGTATTTGAAAGTGAGATAACGGTTTTGATACAAACCACGAGATGGCACTACCAATATATACATTCTAATTATGGTCTTATAATGACGTTGAAAACTTAAGGTAAAGTTCGAAGGAAAACGAAGTTTAACAATAAAAAGAATTACGACACTTATGAGAAACAACATTATTTATATGAGAATGGACGCAGATTAACGTTTCGGAATTCTACAGATTTCATCTTCAGTATCTAAAACAAATATAAAGAACATCAATCAGTAAATAACTAAAACACATTGTTACATTAACGATAATATAACCGAAACTAAAACACAGAGAACGTAGAGGACTAACAACAAAAATACTGTACATATTAAAATATATATACACTGTAAACGAAGACTGCATGTTGTACAGTGTTGTTTGATGTGGGGCGTTTCTTGAATCAGTAATTCCACATCAGTGTTGGCCTTGAAAGGATATTGAAATTTGATAAGTTAAGTTCGTGTCCTGTTTTTCGACTATGTTGCTGTATGTAGGAAACACGGGAGTAACTCAGCTTTTTTGTGTTTTCATGAAAATTCCTATAAGTGCATTGACTAGTAGATGGCGTTTGGTTTTGCCAATATAGGAGACCTTACAGTCTTCACACGTACAAAAATATACAAGTCATGAACAAAGATAAATTGGAAGAAGGTATATAGTACAGAAAAAATCCATTAGTGTTAGGGTTAATGAGAATGTCTAAAAGCAGTAAATTATTATTAATTTAAACATCACATGTGAGTTTAATGGCAAGATGTTTTGATTCAGGTATTCTAAAAAGTTTGACCAATGATCTTGATTATAAAAGTATCGTCCACATACCTTCTGTAAAGGATGGTCTGGGGTCAGCATGGCAGGTATCGAACCATTACTTGTCGTGATAAGAGAGAAACAAATTTGCTAACGTTGGACCCAACTGGGACTCAATCGCAGCGCCATCTATATGTTCCATCTGGAATAGGAAATGTGAATTCTTTGTTACCAACATGGTCTTAATTTGAAGTTCACAAAGCCATTCAGTGAAATAATATTACGTGAAAATTCATATATATATATAAATATCAAGAATTTCATTTACAAGTAAAGAGGTGGGTTAATATTAAAATTAGCCATGAAGTGTAGGTGGGGGTAGTTGATTTAACTCACGTGCAACATGAAAGAATCAGGAATCGTAAGTTCTTTCAGTGATTGGTTGAACGTGTCTATAAAAATTAAAGTTGAAGCATGATCAAACTGTTTAATCATTTGTTGGTACCGTGTTAAAATAGACTGAATGTATAAGTCTCCGAGTTTTCGATCTACTTTTCTAGGGATGTTTACATTAGGTTCCTGTAATATCTAACAAATTTTACCAGTTTATCTGAAGTCGTTTTTAATTATTGAACACAAAGGTTTTCAGTTTTTTTACCCTGAAGTGTCTTCTATATACTAACACTTTCGAATATTACCAAATATTTAATTTTATAATGTTTTGATACCAATATATTTGTATAAAATAATAATAAAATAAAAGATTTTGGGGAATTTTCCCTCGTCGAATATTAAAATGTTTGTTGTTTATTTTAGAACAAAGTTACAGACTGTACCATCAAATGTCTATTCAGCGTTGTAAGTTCGTAAGTCTACCGGAGACCGAAATTATGAAATATATAGCTGTAGGAAAAATATCTTTTTTTTAAATAACTACTCATCAAATGTTATTGGTTGAAAACAGACGATAACATCTATTAATAATCATCAAACAATCACTAATGTAGTTCGTATTTTAATGTGAGTAGAGTACACAAACTTTGTTTTAAATAAGACGACGAGTGATAAATTTAAATATTTGAAATATTGGTAACAAACATACAGATAACTGTCATTAGAACCAATAACAAACGAAAACCACCTAATCAACTAATGACGTTCTAGTACAATCAACTCCTATACTTGACACTAATATATTCCACTTTCATCCTGGTATTTTTATTCCAGAAAGTATCTACTCACATTGGGCCCTCTTACAGGTTCAGAGAGGCCACTTCCTTCTTTTGAGGCTCCTGGCCACAATAAAATAGTAAATGACGACACATGAAAACACAATATAACGATCATTAGCTCGAAAAAATAATGAAATGTAATTTAAAGGGAGGCATATAAAAACTAGAAGTTGGGAACTTAACATATGACAAAAAAATTAACAAATGTCTACATTTAAGG